CCTGCCAGTGCCACTGTCCTTCTAGAGCAGTAGGGAGGCAGGGAGCCCTGTGGGACCCCGCTCAGCACACCCCGGGTGCTGCCATCCAGGGGACGCCTTGGGTCTCTTGCAGCACCCGTGGGTCTCAGAGGGGAGCAGATGCAAAGTTGCCCTGGACAGCAAGGGGAGACTGTCTCCAACATCCCTGTGCCCTCCGGCACTGGGTGGTGGGGAAAGACTGTGGGCCGAGATCTGTTCCCCAGGGAAAGGGCACACTAGGGAGTTACCACGGAGAGGAGAGGGAGAGGTTTGTAGACACACAGCGGAGCTGGGCAGGCAGGAGAGGGCGAGAGGAGGAGAGGGAGGGAGAGCTGAGGGAGGCGGGAGGCTGACGGAGAGCAGCGTGTGCCGCTGAGGCACAGCGGAGCGTTGCCACGGAGGGCACAGGTAGGAGCAGAGACAAGGAGCGGGTACGGCACAACGCCTGGAGGCTGCTACGCCCTTGTCCCCAGGGTGGTCCCAGGAGCCTGGAAGACGGATACCCTCAGGCTGTCTCACCTGGACTGGAGGTGGAAGATCTCCTCTGCCAGGTAGCAGGTGCCCTTGAGCAGCACCCCGATCTGCAGGGCCACGAAGTGGAAGGTGAGGCTGCGGGCAGTGGGCACGAGGGACTCCCCAGCGAGGTACAGCGCTGCGGCGCACAGAGCCAGCAGCAGGTACGCGGCACGCTGCGCTCGCCCTTCCCGGGCCTTGGGGATGACCAAGGCGGTGGGGTGGCTCGGCCACCGTGATTCCCGAGACATCTGTGGCAGAGACGGAGCGGCGGCAGCAGCGACTGTTGTCCCCGGCGCCCTCAGCAGCACTGCGGGGAGTGGAGAGGGTGGGGGCACACGCACAGGCAGCACTCACTGAGCACCCCAGGGCATGCAACAGGGCCATCCCTTGGCACGCCGCTGGAACGCAGCCGCTGCTGGGGAGGTTCTGTTGCGTGCTGCCCAGCCCACCTCGGGGCTGCCCCCGCGCCCAGACGGGCTTGGCAAGACAGAGCCCGG